GCAAAGCTCAAACAATAACTGATAAGATCTGTTCTGTGTGCAATGACCTAGACTTATCAATGAATGAAAAAATGTGTGGTTTTGGAAGTGATGGGGCAAGCACTATGATTGGTAGCAGAAATGGTGTGGCAGCAAAATTAAAGGAGAAAGTCCCTTGGCTGGTAAATAACCACTGTGTGGCACATAGACTAGCTCTTGCCTGTTCACAGGCAGCTGAAGCAATTCCATACATGAAGAAATTTAAAGATATTGTTGCCCAATTGTATCGATTTTATGACCATTCAGCAGTCAGAACAGCAGGACTAAAGGATATTCAGAGTGCTATCAGAGCACCTGATCAGAAGCTGAAAAGAGCCAGTGACACCCAATGGCTGTCACATGATCAAGCAATAACAGCAATTCGTAAATCTCTGCCATCAATTATAACAAGCCTTCAGAGAGAGGCAACAGAAAGGAATGATGCACAGGCACTGGGTCTTAGCAAGTTTATTTGCACATATCAGTTTGTTGCAAGTGTCTACATGATGTCAGACATTACCTATCCTATCACACCTGTGCAAGCTTTTTCAAAAAAAGAATTTTGACTTCTCTCTGATTCAGCCACTGGTGAAGTCTACAAGTACGCAGCTAGAAACTTTAAAGACTGTTCCTGGGGCATTTTTTCAGCAAGTTGATGGTGTCATTAGTAATCAACTAAAGGACTTTGACATCAGAAGCTCATCAAAGGACAATTTCAAGCATAATGTTTACAATAAATATTCGGAAAACCTTTGCAAACATGTTGAGGATAGATTTCCAGATGCTGGTCTTCTAGAATCCTTTTCAGTCTTTGATTCCTTCACTTGGCCAGAAGAGTATTTACCAGGTGATGGTGAGGAACACATTGAGGAACTGATCAAGCACTATCAGCCTGTTGTGGAGCACCAAGCTACTTTGGCAGAGTGGAAAACCTTTGTGAATGCTGTCCAGGCAAAGGCTGATTTAAAAGGCAAAGACAGTCGAGAGTTGTTGACAGCTTTGGTTCAGCTTTGGAAATCTTTTTTAATTTTCTAATCAGGCCACAGGAAGGTTCTTATGAATATCAAATTCAGAATAAACCTCATTGCCTGAGGGTCTCTCCTCATTCCTTCATTTCTCGCTCAGGGAGTGGGGAGAGACCCTGGGAGTGAGCTTGAAGAGAGAACCCCCCGGCCTTCCAAAAATCCTGGGGAGAACACTGGAGAGGCACTAGCTACATTGCAACTGAGCTAAATGTTCTGCATTTGAAGTCGCACGAAATTCAATCGAATCAATGTGCTCAAGCTATTCTGCTTTTGATTGCATTTCTTAGAATTGAGTAATAGCTCATTACTTGTTTGCAGGTCTTTAAGGCAAGAAATGAGTTGAGGTCTTTATATCAGCCTATAAACATTTCAGTCTATTTTCCTTAGCGTTTGTCGTTATTTGCATTTCTCGAGAAAGCAAGACATTTTGAATTTCAGAGTTATGGCGGTATGTGACATAGACCTACGAACACGTTTGCAAAGAAACATATACTTATC